TAACCTAACCTAACCTACCCTATTGATAAAGATATTTAAATAATGTTTTATATAACTTTCTCAATATTTTTATGTATTTTTCATTAGTTTTACCTTTGAATATTGTTTAAGAATGACTATATAAATATTTACATGCCCAGAAATATATAAAAATTGGCATATTTATTAACTTTGAATCCCCATAACTTTTTATGGGGGTGAGACCGCCACGAATTTTTTATGATACAGTGGTGGGGGAGACCTTCTCTTTAGAAGGGGGTGGGTGCCATCATCTAGACCTTTACCAAATATATAATAAAGTTGCCTTAGGTTGGGTTTGGTTCAGCTGGTTCTGATTCCCCGAACTTTAAAAATGTAACTTGTGTAACAACAGTTTCATATCAATTAAAAGTCAATCAGCAAGCGATTTTCATCATAGCCTATAATTTTTTTTTTTATTAATATGTAATGTTGTATTGTCCCACCATTTCCAATAACGTCCAACAGGTAACTTTGCTTGAAAAAACTCTTCAATGTCTTAACAATGAAATTAAAGTGCAATTTTTCATCCCTTACGAACAATAAGTATTTCAAATCAATCAACTTGTTTATTTACTTTATGCTCGAAGCGTCGTGTCCTGTCTCCTCAACGTGTTTACATACGACTGAATATAAATACAGTTCGCGATGACATGTTTTCAATCAAAACGAAAATAAAGTAAACATAAAATCGCTCTTTTTATCATATTTGCACTTGGACATAGCTAGCTTTCCTATGTACGTCTAGGTACCTACTTATTGCTGTTTAGAGTTCAATTGTTTCGATAGTCGTAAAAATTAATCGTTATTATTTACACAAATTCAAGTCGAAAAATGAACCTATTTAGGTTCTTAAGTGTAAAAATGTCCCGAGATGTAAATGTACCAATTACAGATGAGATTTACACGACGTGCGAACCGATGGTCATGGTAAGCCGAATTTTAGGCCTATTCCCGTACGCCGTTTACAGGGACGGGCTCAATATTATGTTTAAAAAGTCACTCGTACTGTACGTTTACAGTTACGCCGTGGCACTTACCCTAGGTGAGGACTCGCATTGTTTTTTGTTTTTTGGGTAACTTAAGACTTGCTTTTTTTTATTTCATAAGTCAGCATGATTATAAAGGGTTTAATAAGTGACTACGAAGCAGGCGATAAGTCAGTAAGGATGAAGAAACCCCTGAGCGTATACGTCACGTTTGCCGACGTCACAATACTGGCGTTCACGGTTTTTCTGGGGATGGTAGGGGGCCCAACGAATGGTAAAATATTTAAAATTTTCGTCCGAAATCTGGTGGAGGTGCCAATTAATTTATTGTTATTTTTCTTTCGTCGATATGCATCTATTTGATTTTATAGGTTGATAAAATAATTTTCCTGAATGACCGGCAGAGAATGAGAAAGGTTTCAATGGTCGTTCTGGGGGCCGTTTTGTTTTGTACGTCGACGTTGTTAGCCTTGGATTTTTCCACGTGGATACGATTCGCCATGGATTCGATAGACGCTGAGTACAGGGTGACCAACTATATTCCGTTTTATTTAGCTTACGTGATAGTGGTCGTGTTGCAATGTCAGTTCTGGTTTGTCATAAAAGCGCTCCGAAGAAGATTGCACGTTCTGACGAAACTTTTGTCAAGAGACAGGATCCAAAAAGGACTGATCTTTAACGTTACCAATAACAAAATTACAAACGTATCACTTGGAATCAATCCCGGAGAATGCACAGGGCCGAATTGTTTAGGCGAAATAATCGACAATTTCGGAAAGAAAACGACAAGCAAAAACGTTATTCCCAACTATAACAGACATCTCTTCGATTTAAGACAGTCCGACAATATAGAAACTTTAATGAAAGTTTATTTTAAACTCAGCACAGCCGTCGACTGTGTCAATAAGTTTTGTGGCGTTTTTCTTTTTGTAAGTACAGAAGCAACAAAAAACAAATTTAAAAAAAGTGATTAAAAATTTTTAACAGGTGTGTCTTTTGAGTTGCTTAATACACCTGGTAGTTACCCCTTATTTCCTGGTGATAGAAATTTACGGCAGACACGATCCCATGTACATAAGTCTGCTGTGTTTTTGGATTTTTGGGCATTGCTGTCGAATTATTGGCATCGTTGAACCGTGTTACCGCTTTAAAGAAGAGGTACTGCGCTTAAATTCATTTACACCGCTTATTTGGAACATAAAACCGACCACTGTATATATAGTTATACACAATCACCCAGTTTATTAGAATGACATCGCGCCATCTATTCCGATTTGTTTGAAGCGTTGTACGAATTTGAAACTAAAATCACGATTACTGCGCCATCTGTTGTCACATTATATGAAACTGTTTTGGCGCAATTTTTGAAATTAGAAATTGTATTAAACTTAATTTTCAGGAAAAGAGAATGTTGCTAGCGATTTCTAAACTGTTGTATTTTGAAAGTGGAGGTGGAAAATTCAAGGAGCAGGTTAAGTTGTTATTTTAATACGAATATTAACAAATAATGTATTATTACTTTTTGTAGGTGAAAAATTTTTTTTATTTGGTTAAGACCACAGATAACCAATTCACAGCGCTAGGTCTAGCAAAAATTGACAGAAGTCTTATAACAACAGTACGTTATTTTACCATCACGATCTTTTTTTGTTTTTTGTTAATTGAGATTTGATTAATTTTAGATCGTTGGAGCTGTCACAACGTATCTGGTAATTGTGATACAGTTTCAAAAATCAGCGGTATCGACCAATAATTAAATAATTCAGTATGCGTGCTGATGGTGCCATAGTAACACATTGGCTTATTACGAATAATCACAAATGCATGTGTAACGTATAAACGTCAAAACAATATAAGTTTTTGCATGTAATTTTGCACCGGATTTGAAAGAATAAAATAAAATAATTATTGCGAGCATCATTTTTATAATTATCCTATTTTTACGATAAGGATTGGTTAGTATTATTATAATCCAACTTACACGCTGTGGGTTCATATCGATAACGATAAATTACTTTTAAGATTATTTGTTGTAAGTAGAAAGTATGTTAAAATATTTTCGTAAATAATAATAATAATAATAATAAGAGTAAAACGGCCTTGAAGGTACAACAAATATATTGAGCATGATCTGTAAATTCTTTACTGAATTCGGCCGTAAAACAATTCCGATCCTGAATCATGGGTTTCTTAAAACCAACACGATTAATAGCACATATGTTTTTGTTAGTGTAAGTATTTTTCGTTATAACAGTAATAAAATACTAAAGATGGGCTCCAGTTCTGGTAAATTTCAAGTTACTAAACCCAAAGGTATGTCGTACTGTAATAGATACTAAAAATCACCTTTGCATTTTACTGATTTTAAAAGATTAAAGAACACCGCCGCACAGTTGCAATCAAAACAACAGATGATTCATTATTATTATCATCATCATTATCATCTTACTGTAGCTTTTTAATAAGAGGTTCGTGACGAAAAAGTGAAATGGGGAAAAAGGCAGGGCCGTATCTAACTTATTTACGAGTTTCAGAATCAGATTTATTCTAACTGTAATTAATTATTAATATTAAACGTAATAAATTAAATATGTGATTATGATAATTAGGAAAGGAAAAAGTTCGTAAAGTTTTTTACGTGGTGAATATTTGGGTCAAGAACGGATTTTGAAAGTGTTCACAACCCAGTATAATAATAGTTTCTAGCAAAAATATACACTTGTCCACGAGCTATTTTTATCATTTTTTTTGCGGTGTGATTGTAGACCACAAGTTTAAGATTATTGATTATTTTCAAAAGTGATAACCTAACTTTTATCTATCAAAAATAGCAAAAAATATTTAACGAAATATAAGCAGCAAAGTGCAACATAAAATCGAGAATTAGAAACCGAAAACTTTTCCTTTAATCCAGATCCTAAACAAAACCTAATGGCTACAACCTCGTCTTCGCCCCAACACTCCTGTGCAACAGCCGAAGAATACGTTGAAGATGTCGTCTGTAAAACAACCGATTTGGTTGAAAACGAACCTAAAGTATTCGACCTAAAAGACGGTAAAGTGCTACTAATAAAACAAAATGGGCAGATAAACGCATTGGGCACGAAATGCACCCATTATGGGGCCCCATTGGAAAAAAGTGCTGTTGGTGATGGGAGACTCAGGTGCCAGTGGCATGGAGCATGTTTCAACATCACGACCGGAGACATTGAAGATTTCCCTGGTAAAAAAATTTAACTACTTAATACAAATAATTTAATTCTTGTGTCACATTGATAGGTATGGACTCATTACCCTGTTATCAAGTTATCCTCGAGGACGATAACGTTAAAGTCCGCGCCAAAAAGTCGGAACTCAAGGCCAACAAACGGGTCAAACCAATGGTCAAACTTAATCCAACGGAATGTCAAAAGATAGTCGTAATTGGGGGAGGTCCAGCAGGAGCTGTGTGTGCAGAAACTCTTAGACAAGAAGGGTTCAGGGGTAAACTTACCCTGGTCAGTAAAGAAAAATATCTGCCCTACGATCGAATAAAACTGAGCAAAGCCCTGGACATCTCCGACATTAACAACATACAACTAAGAAGTCCGAGTTTCTACAAAGATGGCGACATAGACGTTATTACAAACGTTATGGCTACCGAAGTAAACCCCTCTAAGAAAACCGTTACCCTAAGTGACGCACAGATATTACCCTACGACAAAGTTTTCGTGGCGACCGGTTCAACGCCCAGGCTACCGGATTTGCCCGGTGCTAACTTCAAAAACATATTCGTCCTGCGGGAGTTTGAAGACGTTAAACTTATCGCAAGTCATATCTCTCCCGATAACGAAGCTGTAATATTGGGATCCGGTTTCATTGGGATGGAATGTGCGGCATTCCTAGCAGGTAAAAATTTCGTTAAAAACGATTTTCATTTGGTAATATCAAAATATTGAAAAGAAAACTTGTTATTTCCACAGGAAAGGTGAAAAAAGTTAGCGTTATTGGAAGAGGCCGTGTTCCTTTTGGGGCTACATTCGGGGAGAAAATAGGGACTGCACTTATGCGACTGTTTGTGGAAAAAGGGATCGAATTCCATATGGACGTAGAAGTTAAACAATTCGTAGGTAACGAAGGAAAAGAGCTAAAGGGTGTCGAACTAGCCGATGGTACCGTTATACCAGCAAACTTTTGTATAACTGGAATCGGGAGTAACTTAAATACCCAATTTCTGGGTTCCAGTGGGATCAACATAAACCCAAATGGAACAGTGGAAGTTGACGAATATTTGAAGACGAATATCGACGATATTTTTGCAGGTGGGTACATTTAGCGAACACAAAAATCAATACACTACAAATTACCTCACATTAATAAAAAAAATAAAATATTGCTGCTATCATACCTTCGCCGGGAATCGAACCCGGACCTTTGGCTTTCCGTACCAATTGTTAAAGTAATTTGTAGCGGACAAAAATTAAATGAATTTTCACATTACTATTACATTTCCAACAGTATTTCATACGAAATTATTTTTCCCCAGGTGGTGACATAGCGAACGCCCCCATAATCACCCACAATACTAAAGCGTCAATTGGACATTGGGGTCTATCCCACTATCATGGCCGATTAGCCGCTTTGAACATGCTAGGTAAAAACCAACCCCTAAAAACTATCCCCTTCTTTTGGACAATGCTATTTGGGAAAAGTATTCGGTATGCGGGTTACGGTAAACCGGACGACATCTTGTACACGGGGAACGTGGACGAACTTAAGTTCGTAGCGTTCTACTTAAATAGGGATGAAGTTATAGCTGTTAGTTCCTGTCAAATGGACCCGGTGGTCTCCCAATTTGCAGAACTAATGATACAAGGTAAAAAATTAACCAGAAAAGATCTGCAAGCCGACCCGTTGGCTTGGACGAAACAGGAATTATAAATTGTCACGTTTATGTTAAAAGGGGACCATCAGTTTGTCTCGCACTGTTGTAATGTGTATTAAAAGGTATTCGTTAATGTTTTTTTCTTTCACAGATTTTAGGAATCTATTGTACAGTATTCTGCATTTTTAATAAAGCTTTTGTGATATGCATTATTTACTTAAAATGTATATAAAAAAGTAAAAATATAGCTACATATTTTTGATTCGAAAAATGTTTTTAATTTATTGGTATGTACTATCGTGTACACCTTGCAAATGTAAAAACATTATTAGATTTAAGGGTAATAAATTTGAAGGTCATATCATATTTACAACAAAACTAAATTAATGCGAAACATCGAAAAAAGAAATATTTTTTTATTTTACCAGTCGGGACCCCTTTATAATCGCGAAAAGTAACGGAACGTAAATAAAATAGATGCTATCAGCTAATAGTTAAACTGATAATGAAAACATAATAGTTCCGAATCTGACATGGTATTATGCGAGATTGTCACCATAATTGATGCATGATGATTTAATCTAAAAGTTACAGGATAGCTTATCACATTCCGCTTAAATTATCACGTAATCGTACCTTGTATACAGATAACAAACACACTGAAATGTATTGAACCATTAATAACAACTTTCATTCTCATTTCTGAATCAGTTTTATTAGACAATTGACACAAAATGGGTTGCAAGTGTTCTAAACAATCAGCAGATATAACCTCAGGTACTTGCCCATGTTTTACCCTTAAATACCAAAAAAAAAATTTAATTGATATTAGAAGCAGATGGGAGATTTGGAGGGGAAGATGACGAGGAATATATAGAAAAGGCGGTATGCGAAGAATCAGAGCTGAAAGACAATGAAATGAAAATTTTCGAATTGGAGGACGATGAAAGCGTGCTAGTCGTAAAACAGGGGGGCCAAATTACGGCCCTGGGGACACGATGCACCCATTACGGCGCCCCTTTAGACAAAGCAGCCCTTGGAGAGGGCCGCATTCGGTGCCAATGGCACGGGGCTTGTTTCAATGTACTAAACGGTGACATAGAAGATTATCCAGGTAAAGTATTTTTACTACGAGTTTACAAAAACAATGAAAAACACTTCACAAAAGTTTACTTTTCTCGAGTGGATTTATAAAATACAATTACATAACAATACCGAACGATTATCTTTCGATTTCAAACGCATAATTGCCTTTTTATCTATACTGGATGTAAATATGTGTATCAGGTGTCGACTCGCTTCCGTGTTACCAGGTCAAGGTTGAGAAGAACCAGGTCAAGGTTAGAGCGAAAAGGAGCCTACTAGAATTAAACAGGCGCACCAAAATCCACCCCAAAATTGATGCTTATGAAAACACCACCGTAGTCCTAGTGGGCGCGGGACCGTCAAGCGCGACTTGCGCAGAAACATTACGAGAAGAGGGATTCAAAGGGAAAATAATAATGATAGGGGAAGAGCCCTATCTGCCGTACGATCGTGTTAAAGTATCGAAAGCAATGACTTCTCACATCGACGACATTCAACTCAGAAACGAAGAATTTTATAAGAACATTGGGGTCGAAGTTATAAAGAAAACGAAAGTCGTTTGCGTCAACCCATCGGAAAAATTCGTAACGACCAGTACAGGGCAAGTAATTAATTACGATAAATTGTACATTGCAACGGGGGTCACCTGCAGGCGGCTGCAAATACCCGGAGGCGACCTTAATAACATATTTGTATTGAAAGACTACGACGACGCGCAGGGGCTCTTAAAACAACTAGCCCCCGACAAACATGTCGTTTGCATAGGGGCCAGTTTTATTGGAATGGAAGGAGCCAACTCTGTCAAGAAGAAGGTGGCCAAAGTTACCGTTGTTAGCCATAGAAAGGTAAGAATTAATAAACAAACTGTTGCTGATAGAGCTCTTAATTTCTCTACAAACTTGCCCTACCCATAACAATTAATGTGCCTTATGATTCTTGCACCTTCAATTCTTAAAGATGCAACAATTATTAAGTAATATGAGTGTGAAAATTCATTTTCGATTTTCTGTCCACTACAAACTTCCTCAGGTTAATGAGGTCAAAGCATTGATGCGTAAAGCGAAAGGTCCCGGGTTCGATTCCCGGCGGGGGCGTCAAAATATTTTTCCCTCATTAACCTGAGAAAGTTTGTAATGGATAGAAAATCGAAAATTAATTTTCACATTAATATTGCATATTGACCACTATTAGTAATTAAAAATGTCAATTATTAAGTAGGACCAATAAAAATCCCACCCTAACGAGCAGTGTTTGCCAAACAGCAAAACAAAAAAAATACTCATATATTTATATAAATAACAAATTTTTATTTTAATCCCTTTCAGGTACCTTTCGAGAGGTCATTTGGATTAAGGATAGGCGAGGCATTTTTAAATCTGTATAAAGAAAAGGGCGTAGATTTTGCAATGGAGCGCAAACACGTTAAAATAACGGGGGACGAAAATGGTAACGTAACAGGTGTCGAACTGGACGATGGTACCGTTTTAAAAGCCGACATAATAATTCTGGGCATAGGCAGTTACCCAACAACTGGATTTTTAAAAGACTCCGGTATACAGTTGCATACTGACCACGCCATAGACGTTAACGAGTACCTCGAAACCAACATACCAGACATATATGCTGGTGGAGACGTAGCACATGCCCCCGTGTGGTCGCGAGACAATTACAAAGCCACGATAGGTCATTATGGCCTTGCCCAGATGCACGCAAAAATAGCCGCATTGAATATGATAGGAAAAAAGACCCCCTTGAGGGCCGTTCCCTTTTTCTGGACAGTTTTATACGGTAAAAGTGTCCAATATGCAGGCCACGGCGAAACTCAGGACATTATCTATGCGGGAAATGTCGAACAATTTAATTTTATTGCTTATTATCTAATAAATGATGAAGTTGTCGGGGTGGCTGGGTGCCAAATGTACCCCACGGTTGCGCAGTTTGCAGAATTACTAGCGCAAGGGCGCAAATTGTACAGAAAAGACATTGAAAGTGATCCTTTGGAATGGACCAAGACAGTAGCAAGAGCTAAAGACACAAAACGTGATAGCAACAATGCCACAAACGGCTTTGGTGCCATAAATAACAATTCGACAGTTGAAAATACAAATACTAACAATAATAACAACACACATTAAGAAAACGATTACAAATTAAATTAATATTATAGCAAAGCCAAGGTTTTAAATAAAAATGTTTAATAATCTTTCGTTTGTACAGTAATAAATTCCTAAAACTAATGCGAGTTTTTGATTAGCTAATCCCATGCTTCCGAGTGTCTTAAATGACCAAGACGGGACTCAATTGTAACATTATCATAAAAATCTCTTTTCCTGTTACGCATTTTTGCAAGAAATTCCTCTCTTCTACCTAAGGCCTTTGTATGACCAGCCGATTGCTCCTGTATAATAATTCAACTGAAATTTATAAACGACATTATACAAATTAAGCCCCAAACATAATTACCGGCGTTAGGTACGAATTTCTGAGGTAAAACATGTTTTTTTCTTCGATTTCGAACTGCTCTCTGAGCTTCCGTAAATCGTCTTTGGTGACCTGCTTCACCAGCCTATGCTTCCCTGTAAAAATATTGCCATTCGGCATTTTTTTACGTAAAAGTGCATGGAACAATCTCATTGTCACTTTCTAATAACAATTTTGCACAAAAACTCCGAATTATTAACAAATTTGTGCAAAATTCACGAAATAACAATCACCTAAAATAACTTTTAACGGAAATAGACCATAGAGGAATACTATTATCTATGGAGGAATAATAGACTCTGAAGGCTTTCGAAATATTTAGCCACCGCAAGCGTAACGTTTATGTTCATCGGATATAAACACTTGCAAACTGTTCATCAGTATTAAAAAAATTCATACAGAAAATAGCCAAATATACACAAGCTAACGACTTAGTAATCTTATCGCTAGTAATTAGCAAGTTATTTTTGGCTGTTTTTTAGTAATAGTTACTATATAAAGTAACATTACAACATTAAGTATAAGAATAGTATAAAAAACAAATAAAAGCAAAAATATACAAAAAAAAAGGAATAATGATACGAAGAAGATTAAGAAAGAAATTGTAAAGCGTTGAAATATTTTAATTAGACTAAAACTTTCTCTTTCTAAAAAAAAAGGAATTATTTTGCTCTTATTACCATTAATCCCTCCTAGGTGCCATTTTTTTAAGGTTAGAACGTAACGATTTAGGAACATCTGAATGTCTTGTGAAAGATGCTAAATTGAGGAACGATGCAGGACAAATGGTTGAATGGGATCGTTTTGAGTATGAAGCAATTCAGAGGTGTCTAAAACAAAAATATATTAAAAATAATTACAACAAGAAAAATGGACTCTCACCGTTATGATACACAGCAAATATTAAAACTGTGGGGGCCCCTTTCAAAACCTATCAATATTAATTAAAAAGAAAATCAGAAGAGCACAGAGTGTAATATCTTACAGACACTGACTCTCACTGAAAGAAACATTAAAAACTAAAACAAAAAGGGAAATATTTGAATGTTAAAAAAATTATATCTGGTAAACTTTTAAATATTTAATTGTAACAAACTAAATGCGCAATATACATGCTTGGATAAAAAAAGCCTTATCACTATGTCTTATCGTCATCATTTTTTCGTGTTATTATCACTGTTATTGGTGTCTTTTTTTATCGATTCTTTTTTAGTAGAAGTCTTATGACTTTTATATTTACTGTCTAGTAAGTGTCCGCTTGATTCGCAATGCTTTTCAAGAGAAATGCGCATCACGAATCGCGCAGGACAGTCTATGCACGCGTACGAGTGCGTGCGTTTTGCATGGTTGACCAGGTCGTTTGATTGTGCGAACGAACTCATACAAACGTCGCACTTGTACGGTTTCTCCCCCGTGTGCACCCTCAGATGTCTTGTCTAAAATATAGCCAGATTATAATAAGACTTGATATTATTTTAATTGCAATGCAGTACCAATTTATACTGTAATCCAAAAGACTTGCCGCAAAATGAACACAAATACGGTTTTTCCCCAGAATGTTGCCGCTCATGACATTTCAGATCGTGGTAACGGGGAAAAGCCTTCTTGCATTCTTTGCATTTGTACGGGAGGTCTCCGGTATGTCGCCGGACGTGAATTAGCTAAAAAAAAAACTTAAATTCAATGGGAAAGCGTCAAAGGACGAAACTACTCACGAAATTACTGGCGTAATCGAAACTTTTTCCGCAATACACACACAGATGCCTTTTGGTGACAGGTTTACCCTTATTGTGAGCACTTTTCTTGTGAAAACTTAAAAAGTCTTTACGAGAAAACGACTTGCCACATTCTTTACAGAGGTGACGACGTTTCTGTTGCGGTTTCGACGGTTTTCTAATAAAATAAAATAAATAACTAAATCACTGAGAGTTCCTAACAAATCTCAACAAAATCAAATAAATGAATTAGAAAAATTACTCTTACTTATTTAAATATTTTTCTATTTCAGGAACGCTCATATCCAGATCTTCGTGTGTCCATAAATGTTTTAGAAAGCTCCCTCTTTTAACAAAAGTCTTTTTACAAGCCGGACACTTAGTTTTCTTTTCAGTCTTTTCGTTGCTGGTCGTTGGTAAGATATCATCAAGTGACACTTCTTCTTCAGTCGACGAATTTTCTTCTGTTTGTAATAAAACGACTGACCCCTCATTGCTTTGGGAATTTGACTAATTAAATAAAATAGAAATTTTCAACACATACTTAATTGCTTAATTAAAATAAATTAAAACAATTACCGATTCTGACTTTGCAGGAGTTGTGGCAGTTTTCCTAGAAATAAAGAAACATTTTTTAAATACAAAAGAGATGCATATTTAAAAGAATTTAATAATTACTCTGCAACTAATTTGTTATACAGAATTTCTAAGCTTTTATGGTTCTTTATATGTCTTAGAAAATTCCCTTCTTTAACAAACGACTTCTTGCAGTCAGGACATTGAAATTTAGTCCCAAGTTTCTCAGTGTTAATAGCAGAGGGCAAAAATTGGACCAACAGATCCATGGTTTTGGTACTTCTTTCCTTTTTATAATCATCTTCAGACTTAATTATCTAAAGACATTTTTATGAACATTAATACAATATATTTACAAAGGCACACTAATTTACTTGCCTCCTCTTCTGTGTCTCCTCCTGGAGTAACATCATCATTATCTGAAACTTCGCCTTTAACCTCCTCTAGTTCATTCAAATCTGACAATTCCTGTTTGATATGAACTTGTTCTATTTCCTTATCATTTATAAAAGTCCCATCACCTTCATTGCACTTATTTTGCTCTGTATTTAATGCAGAAGGGTTTATTTCTTTATTACCATTCTGTCCTATATTTAACCCTTTGGTACTATTTTCGTGGTTTAAATCTGAGACAACCTTTTGAAGCTCATCTTTAAAGCGGGCCCTTAATAAACTATCAGACTTTTCACTTTGTTTTTTAAAGTTGAATGAAATTTTTAATTTTGCTTGGCAATCACTACATAGATATGGTGGCAAGCCATCATTTTCACTTATCTGCAAAATTTCAATTGGTAATATCGTAAAACAAAGGATACATTTGTACAAAATACCTTAATAGAAGTACACATAAAAAACATATCTATTATTTGAAGATTTTCTTGGTCTTCAAAGATATTTTTCATGTTTACATTATCAATCATACAAGATCGACAAATTTTTTCCATTTTGACTATTACTTTAATGTAATAATTTAATTTATTATCCGATATCCGTTCTAATACAAAAGCTTTTTTCAAAAATGATCATATTTTGAGTTTTTTTTTAAATAATAATCAATGAAATCCAAGCATAACCTGAAATACATGAAAGAAAACAAAAAACATAACCTCACATAACCTATAATCTAAACGGTGAATTAAAACTTTTTTAAGTATTTTTTAAGGAAAAACTATAAATGAGTGTAACAGTTTTGTGTTATTACAGTGTAATTTTGATAAGTGCTTAAGTTTTACAATGTCTTTTCTTCCCAGTGCATTTAACACATTAACACGTAGCGTACGATTTTTGGGTTCATGTAAACAAATTATGTTAAACAAACAAATTGTATGTTTTAAAGTGTTTCAAAATCGATATTTTTCTGTAAACATTACGAAAAATACAGCACAGGAAAATATTTCGTCGTTACAGATCAAGAAAAGGGTTGTTCGTCAGAAGCGCCCCTTAGAAGCTCAAGACACCAAAACTCCAGGTCAGTTTAAAAAGAAATTGTAATGAGCTCCTCGTATCAATACGTACTTCATAAAATATTTTAGGACAATTCATTGTTACTGCTCTTGCAACCGCTGAAGAGTACAAGTTAGAAGAGCTCACACAGGGACTTACAGAACAAAATCTATACGAACCTAGGTTTATAGACAAAAATGTAAATGCAATTTATGCAGTTGCCAAATATCAAGTAGATAAGGAACCTCGCGAAATATTTTTCTTTCGCGAAGGAAGTGTAGTCCTTTGGAATGTAACTGACCTGGAAGTTAGTAATGTTTTGAACTTTCTCAAAAACTATGAGCAAGACAGTTACCCCGACAAATTGATTGCTAAGGAGACAGAATATATGAATTATCAACACCAAAAAGACAAGTAAGAATTAAGCATAGAAAAATGTAATTTAGTTTTTAATATAATCACTAAATCAAATTGCAGTAAACCGACAGTATTTGATTCAAACAGTGGTGACTTCTTGCTCTCAACAGAGGACAATATCTTAGAGAAATACACATTCTCTAATGTTATGGCTCAAAGTGTTAAATTGGGCATTTGGGAATCAATGTTAGAAAGGTACATTGATTCTATAGTATATGTTACAGAAGATCTCAAAAGGGGCGCGAAATTAAAAATGACGCGTAGCCAAGTTCTACGAAAACATGGAGAATTATTCGCTTTAAGACATGTGATAAACTTAAGCTCAGATCTGCTAGACACACCAGACTTTTATTGGGACAGAGAGGAGTTAGAAAAGTTATATCTGCAATTATACTCTTATTTCAGTATAAACAGAAGGACTAAGGTGATTAAATCAAACTAAATAAGTAGAGTAGTATTAATTAAAATGTTTATGATTTATTAATCTTTTTAAAATTACTATTTGATATTCGAATGCTCTTCTTTTGTACAATTGGTATAGGACCATTAATAATCACTACATTAATAATAACAAAACATACAGTCAATAAGTTATTATTTTGTTGATGTCATAATTGAATGTGATTTGCATTATTAACTTGGTGCCAATAATAACAAAGCATACAGTCAATAAGTCATTGTTTTGTTGATGTCATAATCAACTGTGATTTGCATTATTAACTTGGTGTCAATAATAACAAAAGATACAGTCAATAAGTCATAATTTTGTTGATGTCATAATCGATTGTTTTGCATTATTAACTTGGTGTTAAAAATGGCAATGCATTATTATTAATAGTACGAAATTATTTATTATAGAACTATTTTCTCTTTTCTAGGTGATGAACGAAAAAATTAATCATTGTGTGGAGCTAGTAGAACTTTTATCAACACATTTGAGCGATAAGCATCACATAAGACTTGAATGGATGATTATAATACTAATTATGGTTGAGGTCGTTTTTGAAGTAATTCACTATGTTGATAGGTACATCAGTTGATCTATTTAAACTATTTTGTAGATAGTTCATTTTTAGTTTATATATGCTTTACATTATTTTTATCCACAATATATATCTAGATGAAATGGAATTATTTTGATAATGTTACACTTTGTATAGTATTAAAGATAATTGGTTATTTTTATTACTATACAGGGTGTATAAGTATTTGCATAAAAAAATTAAAGCTTACAAAGTAGCACTTCTGGCTTGTTTTACTTCCCCTTTATCTCATTTACCATTTTCCTTCAGTTAGACTTCCATAATACTTTTCAAAAAAGTATTTCCATTTATAAGTTTTGTTGTGGCAATCACGAATTCGACATTGGAGTCCTCTTGCTGAGATAAAAAGCGCAGAGCGGATATCTACAATATCAATAATTTCTAGTTAGACACACGTTAATTACCTACCCAGTTAATTATTTCTTAAAATTAAAGTTGCAAAAATTCTTTAACTTTTTGCAGACTTGGAAATATTATTTTATATGCTCAAAAACAGTTAACAAATTTCACCTCAGCAAAAGTGCACCCTCCTACAAAGAACACCAAGACGACGCTGTGAGACTCGTTGCCATTTTCAACAGATGGGTCCGCAGCAATGGCCAAATTTTCATCAAACACCGGCCCTTTGAAACAAAAAACAAATGGTAAATATATCCTTTACTTGCATTCAATTTTTACCTGGAAGCAAACCCAGAACGTCTTGAAGCTGCTTCCAGCCCCCTACTTTGGTCATTTGTTCTGCTATTCGAACACTTAAAGGGGCATACACGCTGTGGACGTAACTTATGTCTGTAGGATTTATTTCTGAAGTGTCTTCCATGGTTAATCGTAAAGCCTTCGTATAAAGAAACAGTTTGTAAATGTTGTATTTGTTATTTAATAAAAATTTGTTGATAGTTACGTTTAAATTTTCTTTTATTAACTCAAAAAATTGTTATGTGACTTACTTTTCGTAAAACAGCATATTGCCTTGTACCAGACTGCACCTTTAAAATTCCAGCTTTTTCTAAATTAATGAGTGCCAATAGGCTTTTCACCCCATAAACCTACACAATAAAAAGTTAATTTATTATATTGCAATTTTACAAGCAAAAATGAATTACTTGAACAATTTCCTTTTTGTAATAATCCAAAACTTTCGACTTCAAGCCAGAATTTGCAACACACTGGAGGCAGATAAGTCTCAATACTTTCACTAAGGGTTGCTGTTGAGCTATCAAATCTTCTATATAAGGACTGACTTTGTCGGTATCAATACAATTTAAAAATTCTTGTTCTACCTTAAAATTAACATAATTCAAAATTAAAACATTTTTAAGTAACTTTAAAATAATATAAATGCACCTGTAAATTATCCAAAAATTCGAAACTGTCTGTAACTTCTTTTACACATTCTGCAATTGCTGTGTGCTTAGCAAGGGCTTCTTTACTAGCTAATATTTGGGGTAAACGCTGTACAAACAATTTCATTTCTTGAACTGTTTTATCACGCCTGTCTTCCATCTGGGAGCTTATTATTTTTGCTTGTTTTGATAAATAGGCTCCTACCTTAAATTATTAAATACATAATTAAAATGAAATAATACTACCCGTAATTTAAACATTACAGCATTAAAGTTCTTGTCTCTTATTTCAGAGAAGAGTTTATCTCCTGAATTAAGAATAATTTGTTTTTTATCTTCTGTTAATGATTTGGTGTTACGTTCTTCATTGCTCAAAAATCTATCAGCTGCAATATGAACTGAACCATTATTGATACCTACAAATTTTCTGTTTCAAATTATCTGCATAAGTTTACAAAACTTATAAATACCATAAATTTCATCAATAAGTCCCTCATAAGTTAACTGTGTTACCAAAGGCGAAATAAGGTCTACACTTCTATCAATTAAAATAATCTGACTAATAGGGGAGGTTCTTTGGTCATTAATAAAATTATTATTGTTTTCTTTTTGAAGCCGATTAACTAACGTCCACACTTGCTGAGCCATTACACCTTTGCCCCAAAACTTTGGTATAGGCCCATATATTTTTTGTAAAAATACAATAGCTTGTGCCACTTGATATAAACAAGTCGGATCATTCTCCAAGTAATACTCTCTAACATCAAAAGTGACTTACTGTCTCAAAAGGGTCTATAAATAATCATAACTCACTTGTAAACATCTGGTATCTCCATTGAAATTAAATCGGAATCAAAAGTAAAAAAGTCACACTTCAATTCTTCTATAAGTGTTAAACTACCAAACATGCCACTTTCTTGTAATTTCTGAATGCATAACCAACTCTTTCTAGACACAAAAAATAAATGATATTGTTTCTTTACAGTTGCTCGACTATTAGAATCACTGTGAACATTTTGGGCTACAAGGTCCATAAGTTCTAGCTTTGGTCTGGTAATAAAAAGTATATGTTTAACAGCAGTTTCTGGAAAGGGTACGTTCCGAAGGGGGTACATTTTCACGACATCATGTTCTTTAAGTATTGGATATTGAAATACAAGCCCTGTTGGCCCGGCCAAGGAATTGTCCCAAACGATGGCTTTTGTTCCAGGACATTTTTCCAATAAATTAATCAAATTATTACGTGCAGCAGTTTGAATTAATGATATATCTACCGTTCCACCTTGTAAATGGTTAGACATTATTATTTTATCTTATATTTTACTGGATTGTTTGATTTCTAAACAATAAGGTTATACCAACTAACAATTAAATCCGTTAAAATAATGATGGCCGCCAGTGCCGCGAATTTTAAATCGCCGCAACTTTTCTACATTATAAAAATCGCTAAAATTCTTATTTTTATAATATTTATATACATAATATTACAGAAAAGCTGTAAAAATTGACTAATTGCTACTAAAAGTGATCAACAACAGAATATTAGAAATGAAATAAGATTCAATACAAAAAAAAAGGAAATATGCGAGATGTGTGAATCTTATAATTTTTCTACCCGGGAAACCATAAAAATGCTTTAGCATGATACGTATTATTTACGCTTCTTTTAGGGTTTCCTAGAGGCATTTATTCCACTATTACAAACAATATATGTATATTTTACACTCTGTGCAATATGTAAAATAAAATAACGTTAAAATGAACCTAAAATGAAATTAATAAAATTGTATTTCTTAATACGTTTATTTAGTGTTTATGATTATGTGATATCGTTTTCGTTTACAATGGAAGAAGATTTGGACAACGGTGGTAATAACGACAGCCAGGGTTCAAATAATTCATATACAATTAACGAATTATTAAATATTACATCGAAGAATGTAACTTCGGTTGAAAACTGCGATCAACGGAGTGACTTTGGTAAGTAAATTTGTTGTCAGAGGTGCCAGTTGTTTAAATTAAATTATGCAAAATTGAATTAAAACCTTCCTAATTTAATATATACAATTAGGAACCTACGCAAACTAAATTAACAAGTCTCATAAAATCAGTCATTGCTTTCTCATCTTTCATCCTCCCCTTTCTTTAATTCCAATTGTAGATTACACAGAGTCTGTGCAAAGTTACAATTCGAAAGATGACGAAACTGATTGTAATTCTAGCGGCGGCAGTTCAAAGAGAAAACAGCGCCGATACAGGTAATTAAATATCTAAAATAGTTTGCGTATTATCGAGTTTATTTTTAGAACAACTTTCTCCAACTATCAACTTGAAGAATTGGAAAGAGCATTCCACAAAACACATTACCCTGACGTATTTTTTCGCGAAGAGCTGGCGATGAGAATAGACCTGACCGAAGCCAGGGTACAAGTCTGGTTTCAAAACAGAAGGGCAAAATGGAGAAAACAAGAAAAACATTTCAATAAAAATGTCCACATGGACCCTAATACCATGAATATTCCTATTAGTGTCCCATGTAAGTGCCAAAGCCTCAATGTCTTGTACTGTTAACTTGTCGTCAACAATAGCTGAACATCGTTGTTTTGGCACTACCTATTGTTCGGTACTATTGACTTGTTGTCAACAATAACAAAACTTCCTTATTTTAGCCCTACTGATTGTTTTCTTGTTGCTAACAATAACAAAACAACGTTGTTTCGGCTTTATTAATTGTTTTGTCCTGTTAACTTGTTGTTAACAATAACCAAACTTCGTTGTTTCAGCCTCAACGATTGTTTTGTATTGTACTGTATTATATAAACTTTCTTTAGCCAGTTATTGACAGTATACAGCCATCTAGTGATATTTGCTGCTAACTGTAGTATATTTGAAATGTTTTTCTTGTATGGTGTTTTCTATAAATTACTGTCATGAACTTAATGTTGATCATTTCTTTAGCCAGTTCAACATCACTAGAAAACCCAGTCTTGAACTATAGCACATCATCCGACCAAATGTCCAATCCATCAAATGTATTTTTGGGCTTGGATTGGTCGTCAATATTACCACCATTATCTTTCAACCACGTCGCAACCGTAGGGGTGGACAGTCACCCTAGTCTTCCTCAAGTTAACGCGGCCCCCATCAACGACCACATGCAAGACACCCACGTCAACATGGACGATAGAATCATCGACAACCCTTTGCAAAATAGCATGATTAACGAAAACATGCTGTTAAACGAAGGGCTGAACGATAGGATCGACAACAATTTGACCTTATTGAACGATCCCCAAAACGAAATCGCCATTGATCCTGACCTATTGACTTTAAAGCCCAATAGGTCAATGAACAGTGGAAACAACTAATAATTGTTATTATTATAGTCGTAATAATTAGCAATATATATTCTGTGCAATACTTCTAGTCAATAAGACTGCATAATACACGTAGTAACAATTATTTATTATTATTAACTGTTAAGATGTTGTAAATGTTATCAAATAAAAATAATAGTCTACGCATACTACTTATAAGAGGAAATTGAGGTTAAAAAACGTTTTCGAGGCATGTATTATTCTTTAATTGGAATAAAAATACATAACATTCATTTCGGGGCGTAGTAAAAATTTACAGTCTCCACTTTATTGCGCCGTACATGGAACCAGAGTAGTAATTAATATTAACGAGGATCGAAACGTCGCGATACAAACAATATACTATATATAATATATATATATGAAGTATGTACAAAACGAGCGTTGCAATTTTTATACATTAAGTGTGGACCTGTGCTTGTAATAATTACAGACGATTTTCTTTTTTAACAAAGGAAATGTCGGAAATTTCCTCAAGCGTGCTTTGAAAGCAACAAAAGAGCCGAAAGAAAATAGTAAAATTCTCTCCGAGACTGGCATGATCACGATAAAAAAAAAAGTTGTTTAATTTCTCTATTTGCATATACCACTATTGTTACTTTTTTTTTAATAAAACTGATTAGGAATTTAAAAAGCAATAATCCTGCGTAAAACCTCGAGTCACAACAAGAAAAAATACGAGGAAAATCGCATGTATAAAATAAAGAAAAGACTATTTAAGCGCGCATTTTTTTATATAATTTTTTCTTTTCGAAAAACAAACTCACCAGAGACAACATTTATTAACAACAGAAGCCCCCGTTTTTGGGGGGGGGGACCACCGTCTGTGTTTAAGCTACGTAGCTGTACTCACATAATATTACAGAAAAGCTGTAAAAATTGACTAATTGCTACTAAAAGTGATCAACAACAGAATATTAGAAATGAAATAAGATTCAATACAAAAAAAAAGGAAATATGCGAGATGTGTNCGTTTTTGGGGGGGGGGACCACCGTCTGTGTTTAAGCTACGTAGCTGTACTCCTCACTCGAGTGGGGAGTCCGCTCTATGTACTGTTTGTCTATTAGGGCTTCTATACACTTTTTGATCATCGGAATACTTGGTGCAAAAGACACTTTCGACTGGGCACAGACCTAGAACGAAAAAAAGCACAAAAAACAATTAACAATGAATCGACAAAAACAATCAATAACGATCAATAAAAGCCAATAAAAAGGTCAAAAATAATATTACTTCCTGAATAAGTTGATTGTGCTTGAGAACTTTCCTAGACTTCATTATCCTGACTATGGCGGCCTGAAGGTACAATTTCCTGTCTTCTTCTACAGAATTCATGGTATGTTCGACTTCCTGGGGCGTCTCCTTCTGCACAGCTGCCGTAATCCTGAACCGCGTCCTTTTATTTGAGTATTCCAAGTTAAGACGAAGGGACGATTCTGATTTTAAATCCTGCAACAGAAAAAGGTAACACAATAAGCACACTTACTTCGAGAATTTAAAATATTTATTAGAGTACCTCGGACTCGCTGAGGAGGAACTTGCAATCTATAAGACTGCTCGCGTGCCTTTGGAACTGTTCGTTACTCAACTGCAACGTGTCCCGGATTTCTCCGCATGTGAGGACGTCTGTGTTTTCGAAGAGGAGAAGAATAGCCATCTGAAACGTCTGCATCGTTACCAGATAAGGTTTTTTTAAGTATTCAAGTCGAAGTTCCGCCTGACAAAGATGATGCAACCAGGTCAACTTGCGCCCGTTGAAACTGGTGTGATAGAACTTTTCAAACTACAACAAATACATAACAATAAACGATCCTTTTGTTGATTCCAATTACTGATTGTTTCCTTACTATAAAATAATGTTTAACAAGGCGGGGCAAAGAAAGAGGGAAAGATTCTTACCATTTGTACACTTTTCTCGAGTTGTTGAGGCAAAGCGAATGGAGTGACGACCGTTTGCCCGAGGGGCCAAGCCCCCGCTTGCAATACATGTATATTGAACGTGATGCCCAAATCGATGTTTTCTTTTTTCAAAAATTCGCCAAATTTGTTATTTAAATCGGCACTGACAGACATGTCTGTGAACATCCGGTGCAATTTATTCGTGAATTCGTAGCCACAAGCCTGTTTCAACCTATAAAAAGTAATATTTACTAAATAAAAAACTCCTTTTGTTAATCCCACCTGTTAATCATGGCTTCTTCGGCGTCCATGCTCTGCGTCTGCTGGTGTATAAGCCTTTTGGCGAGCATGCGCGAATAGAATTTCTGAAAAACATCTTTGTCATCGATATATTTGAATATAATTATGCTTTGGGACAGTTTCTCGTCTACTTCGCTCTCGCTTATCCCCTTGCTAGACTTTTTCAATAGAGTATCACAGTATTTGGCAAGCAATTCGGGACTGCGGCACGGCCCCCGGCCCCCGTTGCTTTTATGATTGATCACGGAACTGCACGCTTTATCCAGAGCACCTACGAAGTTCTGGTCGGCGTTAAACACCTCCTGGATCAGTTGCTTGTACTTCTTGTACACTTTCAGTAAGTTTTCTACGAAATGGATGTGCATGCTTTCACCCTGTAGATTACTAACCGCCTAGATGACAAAGAAAAACAACCTCATAAGGATAAAATAAGGGAAAAACAACACGGAGTCAAAAAGTAGAAATGAATTACCGTAAGTCCTTGGGCTTTGATGTGTTCAAGGACAGTGTCCACAAGGACAGAAATAGCATTGGGAACACTCTTGAGAAGACTGTACATGTTTGAAAGGTCTTTCTTACGTTCACCCTGTACCATATTCATGCATTCGCTATAGAGGAAGTAAAGATGTTCAGCCACCATGTGGGACTCGCACCGTTGAGACACCTAAACACACAAATAGTGATTTCAAATAATAATTAAATAGCAAATCGAGCAGACAGACCTTAGGTAATGAACTGAAGTGTAAGAATTTTCTAGCCCTAAGTAGTTCTTCGTCGATTTTCGCCATGACTTTTTCCATGTATAAGCTGACGTCTTTTTCCTGGAGGAGCCTCGCAGCGTCCCTCTTGAAATGTTCGCCGCTGGCATCCAGAAAGGGTTCTTCAAAAAGATCCTGGTACAATTGCAACTGGCCCTTTTTCTTACAAGATTGAACCTGTTATGGATAATACCAAAAATTTGTTCTGGAAAAATTAAATGAGCTTAGATCAAAATTACCTCAACAAAACTTAAAATTGTTCCCCTGACTGCTTCAATGGGAACTGTTAAGGGTTGCTGAGCCCTGTCTTGGTTAATGACTTCTAAAAGTAATTTTACTAGACGGTGACCTAGGGGGGCTATCATATCAGCCCTCCAAACTTCCAGGGCCAGTTCACCAATCTCCATTTGCTCTCCAGCTAATTAAAAACCCAATAATATTCTTATCAAATAAATACATACAGAGGTGAAATAAGAAAAGTTAAAATTTAAATTACCTCCGGATATATCAGAGCCGCCATACAAAATTTCAGCATCAGAACCTTTCTGTGTCTTTATGTGCTGTTGATTCAAGTAAAAATAAAGCTTGTGCAGGTACCCTGCACCCTCAGAATACTGCGACCAGTAATAAAAATAGTTCCTAATCAATTGAGATTCTCCACCTTCCTGTATTTTATTCAACAATTTGGCTACATGATCTATCAGGTACTGTTTAGTTTCAGCATACAGCCTATCGGCTAGAGGCTCAGGGTGAGCCACACATAAACTATAAACATCTCTGAAAGGGACCGTTTTCGTTTTTATAGGTTATATTGAAGTTTTACTTTTATTTAGAACTTACGAAAATCTGTCGTTCCAGACAGTCCTGGGGACATGATCCAACGTTATCACCCCACGAACGGTGTCCTGCAAGGAACTCCAAGTGGCATTAAAATCAACTTTCCGTGGCTTAAGTGACATTTTAAACTATTTATTACAAAATGTTGTCAATGACACTGCACGTTCTAAAAATAAGTAAAAATTAAAAACTACGCACAAGACACTACGAGATATTACAATTACTTTTGACTAAATTCTAATAGATCACGTTTTCAACCTTGAGAAAGAAACTTCATAATACTTGAAGAAGGATGCAACTGCTACACAAGAATGTGTAATTTTGTTTATCTTTACTGTTTACTATTTTGCATGGATTACACTCACGGTTTTACTGCAAAGTTATTTTTGTAGACTGAAACTTTCGTCATCAAATTTCTATTTTCTATATTCCCCTTTCACAAATACTAGCATTACGCACAATCACAATAACCTGAGACTGATTGTCAGTTTATTGTCACATGTCACCATTATAGCAAAGTGACCAAAGAGTTGAGGTCTACAGACCTACTAATACATGAACGTCTGACGCCATGAAAAGATTAGGTACCTGGTACCTCCAAAAAATGGCACCAAAGAGACATTGCTAATCTAAAGTTTATTTCTCAAATAAATGGTACATTCTTTATACAGTGGATTTCGAAAAGTAGATTATTAAATCCATTCTACCCTTTACGAAATCTGTAAAAGGACAAAATGAAGTACATACCTACAGTACCAGAAAAATTAATACAAAATTCTAAATAGAGGCTCGTACGATTATTTATATGTACTGTATACTTGCCACATCTAAAAAAATTCGTATTTAAACCAGTGATTAGTTTGATTTTACATTAATATATCATATTAATAATAAACTAACTACAACATTATTACACAGTATATTTTAAAGGTTCATTAGGTGTAATAAATCGTTCATTTTTTTACATAAATGCGGAGAATTTGGTTTATAACCTCCACTCCGTGGTGTTATTATTTTATTTTTTATTAAAATAATTAAGGTAACGTTTCTCACCTGTCCTATTTCTCTACCGAAAATTAACAGTAGGTTTTTATTATTTACAACTATAATAAGTAAAGTATCCAAAAGCAAACGATCATATACAGTATAATATCCACCCTAAGCAGTAGTACGACCTTTATTTTGAAAGATCACGCACTTCAACTAATACCTACATATTATACAACCTTCTGATGATAGGATTAATTAGCAAACCATATTTAGTTAACATTGACCACTGGGCCAAAAAGAAAGTCATATAAGCAGTAATGCCTATAAGAAAGACTAAGGCGAGTATTTGTATATTATAATATAGACCCGGAAAATGCAGTTTCGTTTTTTACACATGATATACTAACGAATTTAAGAACGTACATTGTAGGTACTACGTTTAGCCCCAATTTTTCAACCCTAATCCACCTATTACATACACACACTACAGCAATTCTAGCCCTATATTTTGCCCTACTTTAATCTAGGGCTAAAGTTAGCACCACTTTGTTGTTAGAAACATGAAAAAAATCGATTTTGCCATGCCGTAGCTTCGTTAATAATGACATTATTGGACTAGTACACGTCATAATAATACAAAATTTAAATAAATCTTTTAGCTGCCGGCGGTGTTTGGGGTGCAGACGATCCAGGAGGAAGTGCGGCTCCACCCTGGGAAACGGCGCCTTGTCCCGGTGGAGCTGCCACCACATTACTCACTGGCATCACGGGGGCTTGAGGGGGAGGGTTGTCAGGCATGAATTTCACTAAAATTTTAACCCAATGTTATCCTACACACAAATACACAAAATCCCTATCAAATAGCTTGCTACATAAGTATTTCGCTCAAAAATGGTGCCAATTACGTAATCGTGGCTAATTTGTTACAGGTACATTTCATTTTTTATTGGGTACTTTTTGATTTGATAGTACAGTATAACAGTTGTATTGAAATGTGATGTCTTCTATCTGTCTTTCATGTGTGCAGATTAATTTTGCAAGTCGTAAACGGAGAACATGTACTTGGCAAAATTAATCTTTAATGTAATGAATGGTATGGAACGTTTAGAATAGTGTAACATGCAAAAAAAGTATTAAAAGGTAAATCTGAAAAGTATAAAAGCATGCCTGCATATATATAATATTATACTTATTACCTTTTCGTTGGTGTATATATGATTCTGACATTTTTTTAATGAATTACTATGAGAGTATGTTTGAAACTGTGTTGAATTCATTTCAATAATACTTTACCATTTTAGCGTTTATGATAAATTGTTTCCCTATAAGTACTTCTATTTTTTTTTGTCTCTATAAATGCACTAATATGTTTACATGCAAAGATTTTCGTTACCTAACGATTATTATGTAATAATATAGACATTCCTTCTGGTGACCTAATTTTAGCTTATTATGTGCATTCGTTTTAAGAAACTAGACGTGCAAGGGTGACCATGCAAAATGCGATGATGAAACATATCATTATCCTCATCGGTACTTTTTTAAAGACAGCATTGTAATTCGCGCTATGCCCGATAGATGGCAACACTTCAACTACCCAATTCTACTAATTAATAGAAAGGCTAGCCTTTATAAAGATCACATGGAGACAACAACTTCCCCACCACCGATCTGTTATGTAGCAGGCCCCCTCTATTTGATTAACAAGAGTAACATTATGTTTCAACATTCGGCATATAAAAATTGTGAAAAAATGGCAAAAAGAATATGAAAGTTCTCTATATATATAGATAGAAAGACAGACAGACAGACAGACAGAAGCGGAATATACAACAAATGACACAACAACAAAAAGTTTCTTTTTAGTTACCGAACGAACATGGTAGGAAATCAATGTATAGATAACCCGTTAAGATGATTACATAAAGTTCACTAGAAAGAGAAAACATTTATTGTACAAGTGAGCAATTGTTTAGAGTCGCATTGTTATAAACCAAAAAAAAAAAAAGAATATAAAATAAAAACCAAAAAAAGACTATTAACGCCTATCACACTACGCTATATGATGCGATACTTACTAACAATAATTATTAGAATTACCAGTCCAATTACCCCCATGATGATCATCATCTAGAAATATTATTGTTTATATTACATTAAGAAAACGTGTTTAATAAAAACGAACCTTTAAATTCTGTAGCCAAAACTTTCTCTTCAACTTTCCCGCCTGCTGTTCAAATTGTGATGCGCCTTGCTGGAGAGCGTCTGAAATTTATCGAATGAACAATTGTAATTCGTGTGTTGGGTTTTTTTTTTGTAATATGTTCATGGCCCTTACGTAAATCCGGTCCTGCATAATTTACCTGCTCGATCATCGAGTTCCGAAAGTTTCGAGTCCCTTTCTAAAACTTTTTCTACGTTTGTTTTCATAATATCCACTACTTCATCGACTTGCGCCTGTGTTTGTTGTAATCTCTTTTGGGCAGCGATTTGCTGGGGTGTACGAGGACCCCCAACAATCCCATCTTCCCCACCGGCAGTGGCTGCCCCTAAGTTGTCCCCTGTTGACCTACATTTTTATTAAAAAAGATATATAAGTATTTCTTGCATTCACTATACAGTTTAATCCTTTTGCATTGTAATTGTATATGTATAATAGATGTCTTAAGGAAATTCTATTTTTAACCCGAAAGAGCTAAAATCAATTAAGATAACAAAAAGTTTTGTGGTTTCCTTAACGCAATAAGAGTCAACAAATAACAAATCTGGCGCATGCGTTTGTAAAAATCAATCTAATTTTTATTATTTTTTTTGTACAAATAACTTTTTATATTGAAATATTTTCACTAAAATCTTACTATTGTAGCCATTTGTACAATAGCTACGATTTTATTTTTAAAATTAGTACGTAATTTAAAGCACTTCTTCCAATATATTAATTTGGAATTAGAAAATTATTTCTAATGGCTAAACAACTACAAATATTCAAAAGGATTAAAAATATACAATTCAAATAATAAATTAATGATATTATTCCTTTACAATAAGTATTTTGCTTTACAATTGCTTCTGTAATCGTACAAAAAAGGATGATGTCTTTCTTAAACACAAACATTTTTTTAATCAGATACCTAACGTATATAATTAACGTTTATGATTTTTAATAGGAATTATTTCGCACTAGTCGATAATACTAAGGCGCTGTTTTTGGTATTTTGGTTTCTCCTTAAGATAACATGTTAAAATTAAACAGGCAATAACAAATGAAATTTAAACTATAAGATAGAAGCGATTACCGATCTACTTACATGCTATTTCACTGTAATAAAAATTAAAATGTAGGCGAACACTTGATAAAATGTGTGGTTGAAATATCCGTATTGATATTTCTGACGTCATACTGCCGTGCCACCCCTGCGCACTAAGATCGCGATATGCACCGACATAGGTCAGTACCAAATTGTTTAAACATTCGAAAAAGACATATTTCTTCAATTAATAATAAAAACCAATTTTAAAGTATTTTACGTAACAAAATTTATTTTTTAAATATTAATAATCTCAACAAATTAAATAAGGAATGCTTATTGTATAACACAACAGACACTCGATAGTGTAAACATCGCATAATGTGAACTGCTAAACTACCGTATATCATGAACAAACTACATAATCTTCGTTTATATGTATATAGAAGCGAATGACCATTGACCTTAAAAATCGATATTTCACCGTTGCTATTGCGCCATATTGCTGTAAATCCCCTAATATATTGGGTACTTTACTACAGATGCTCTTTACATATATTAACCCAAAGGGCAGAAGAGAGTGACGTCGACCCCACTGAACTGATGCTTATAAACTATTAAAAAGACCCCAAAAACAAACCAAAATGTATTCCAATTATAATATTCGTTAACGTGAACAAATCGATATTGTGAACAACTCTTTCGGTTCACATTATCAAGCGTCTACTGTAACTAGAAATAGTTGAAAAACTGTAAATATAAAACAATTGTGTAAAACCAATATGGCGGAAAATAATCTAAGCGATTTCAATATGGCAGACGCGGACGTTAGTTAACGGCTCGTTTTCAATTGTTCAGATATTAAAGATAGAAAATATTCAAAAAATACTGTCATATAAAAGTAAAAAAAAAATACCTATAACAGGAAAACAGAAAGAAAAGGGCAACGAACAGTTTATAAGCGAAAACTTATCCAAAAAATTGCTGTTCCAAAAATAAACTTACATAAATGAAAACAGTAGTGATAAAAGTAACTTATAATAAACAATAGTGGGTATGGTTTTGGTATTTTCTTATTGAACACAAAATACATGCATACACTGACTTAAATTATTTTTTTATTTCGAAATCTATCATGTTATTTGGATCTTTAATTATTTCCAACTGGTGTTCATTAACTAAATGTAAGAGTGCAACGAAAATCGTTGCACAACTTAATTCTTTTTTCTCTGAGCCTGACATAAGTCTCGGAAGTCGTAAATAAATATTTCGAAAGCGAGTTGGACGAATCGGAAGTGCTTTCAATTGTTCTTCAGACAAATGCTAAAACACAACAATGAGTGGAAACACTCGCATATAACAATTAAGTTTAACAATGAAAACAAACCTTATTTTCATCTGTTACTAAACATCGTCGTACAGCATTCTTCAGTCTTTTTATATTTAATTTTTTCGGTTGCAATGCATAGTTTATGAAATTTTTCTTTACCTAAACAAATAGATATTAAAAAAAAAAAATAAAAAATAAATTTTGCGAACCATCTGAGGCGCTTCCACCAAATTGTCTCCTAAAAGCTGTCCAACATCTGCCAGCATTTCAGGCTCTACATTTGCACACTTTTCTGTAACAAGCTCTAACTCCTCCTCTAAGGGGCCATCGTCATTATCGTCAACTCCGCCATCGTCAAATGCCTGAAATTAAAAATAAATAAATAAATAACACTACCATAAACCTTTTCGTAACTCACCGGAAGAGCAGGTTGGGAACAATATTCAGAATCTAAAGGATTTTGATAGTTATAAGGTGTCACTTCGTCCTCAACCCCATCTTTCGGAAGGTCGACGTAATTTGTTTTAATAAATTGTGGTTTACTTAAGAGGGGGATGTCCATACTAAGAAATTTGTCTTCGAAAAGAATTTGCTGTTGCGTTATTCTGAAACCCAGTTCTTTAAGACCAAAAAATTTGCACCTACATAAGATTCAAGTACCTTTCTGGATCGTATTTAATCGGATTCTTTCGCGGTTTGTACTTGAGATTTTCGTCAAACAGAGATAAATTTAAGATATCTACATGATCGCGGTCGAGTTTCTGCTTTTTTCTTGGTCGTTTAGGTTTTTGCTGATGTTCCTCGACCACTCCAGAGAACTTTCTGACTAAGATTTTAAAATTAAAAGTTAAAATGGGTAAAAGAGGCGGGGTTTACCAGTGGGTCGTATATGTTTAAATTTCCAATGACTGGGACCAGCCAGAAGTTGCTTTTGGAATTGATTATCAGCCGAATGGGAAAACGTAGCATAGGAGTACTCCCCAGATACTGTGTTCCGCTCTTCTGGCCGGAAATCCGTTATAAATTCAGGCTCTACGTGAATTGCTGTATGGGCTTCAACCCTCTCGTCTTCTGATGACCCTGCTACCTCTGTTTCGTAACCTTAAGGTTTTTTTTTTGAAAAATGAAGAAAAAAACAATAATTCAAAACTTTACCATGCAAATCAGCGAAACTATGTATAGAACCGTCAAGTTCGGGAACAGGTACCCCGTTTTCATTAAAAACTATAACGTCATTGAATGAAGAATTCGGAGAGTCCATTCTGAAATTAATCATGTTCTGTCGGACGTACAAATATAGGGAAAATCTAGACTGATTCTTACAAATGACTGTCTTGTTCGGGATCCCAAGTATCTACTTCGAAACCTGTAAAGGGATCGCATATGTGAAATTCCTCAATCTCAACTGGCAAACGCCACGGTCTCATTATTTCAGATTCTTTTTTAAATTCTTCGTCTACCATTGCGTACGTCATCCAAGCCGGGTCATTGTTCCTGTATGTAAAAAACAACTTATATGTACAGTGTTAACTACTAATGAAAACTAAACAATTTGATGCCTACAGATTCATGAACTGATGACCATATGGATGCATGAGCATAGTGTTTGTACGCAAATCTGTAATAGAGTTAAAATCAACACCACTTCTAGTCTGAAAACAGTTGTTTACAAGTACAGGTATTTGCCCTGTTATAGACTTTATATTTTTAACTATTGTGTTTTTATTTTTAAGAGTTTTTCTCTTTCTCTTTTTACTGGTACGATTTTCCTTATCTTCTACATCAGGAGGCCCCTCATTGCCATCCTGGTTTTCTTCTGAAAATTAAACAGTAACCAGTACTGAAAAAAAAAAAATTTAAAAAGCTAACCATCTCCTTCTCCTTTCTTATTAGTAGCCCTTGTCATATTATGAGCCAGTTTAATTGCGTTAGAATGAACATCATCCACCCTCAAACCATAAATTTTAGCACTGACATCGAGTGAGGTACCGCCAAGTTGTAAATAGTCTCTAAGTTGTTTCTTTGATTCTAATACTACTGGCATATAATCAATCATTTTCAGGTCCCATACATTTTTTGCATTGATTTTCTGAAATAACAAAATGTTCAAACATGATATCTATAAAAGACGTTGATATAGGCACATTTTCTACAAATAACTTCAAGCAGAGCTGAAAGTGTTCATGGATTTCTTGTTCACTTCTTAGGGTCAAATCGGGAAACACAACATTACTTATACGACGCTCTACATCTGCCACACTACGTCTTTTCAATCTTTCAGACTCATCATCCTAAAATACAAGAATCAATTTAATAACATTCAAATTGTTTTCAAATTACATAAATACCTGATCGATTACCGGTTGAGGGGCAACAGACTTTCTTAAAAGTGATTTTCTTAAAGGGGACCCAAGAGCAATATTCGTTAACCTTACAATTGGGACTGCAGCATTAGTTAATTTGTTACGAGGAGTTCCCAAGGAAGTGGAGCAATTCATCGTTTAAAGGAATATTATTTACTGCAAAAAAACACAATTTATCACTAATTCACTCGAATTAAGAACAAAATCAAAATCAAACGTCAAATAAAAATCCCACATTTGTAATAACCGACAAATTTCAAATTTAATTTGAGCGTCACCATAGATAATAGAAATGATTAAGCATTACATATTAAACATCATAGACATTTACATTTGGATGTATTTTGAATTTATGGTCATTGTGTACAGTTGTTCACCGTACGATCGGTGCCACGCCAACGGCACCGTTATTGTTATGACGACGAGGCCGATGACGATTACTCGGAAGTGATGACGTACTATTTCTTTGTCACGTCTTGTTTTAATTTCAGTTTTCCCCTGTGCAATTCAATTAGTTCTTTTATCTCCTAGTACTGGAGTTGCGCACGGAGTTCTTAAGTGCCTCCAGCTACCTTATGTGTCCTTTTTCCCCGGTTTCCTTTCGTTTCGCTACTGCTATTTTAATAATTTTTACTATCTAACGAGCGCCCAAGTTTTTACTGAGACTTAATTTTTCCTATTTAGTAAATATATTATTATGTTTTATTGTTGAACAAAAGCGTTTTTAAAAAATTATTGTTTTATTATGTAATTTTGATAAACTTAATTTCGATTAAATAAATCTCCTTTATTGAGCAGGCATAACAAATTGTTTAATTCGAACAGAATCTGCTTCGATAAGACGTCGGCATGATGTTTATATTTACGTTTTCTGCGTTTATCGCACAACACTGTAAACATATACAGTCTGCAGTGGACGATCCTGTTTTGAACGCGCAAACGTCGGAGTTTAGTTATACCTTAAAATGAAAACGAGTATTCAGGTCGTGATAATATGTACCAGATTATTGAAAACCCGTTCCGATTCACCTATATATCACAGCTACATGCATATGCACTTATTTGTACAGTATGGATAAATATATAACAAAACACTAGACCGTCGAAAAGAGAAAGTATTTTTAATAACCAATCTCTTANAGGGATTAAACAGTGTTAGTCTGATAGATCTGTCTTATAATAATATTCAAAGCCTAAATACCAAAGTCTTTTGCAATTTGAATCAATTACAACATTTGTATCTGTCTCACAACTCGATACAATCGATTTCACCTAGTTTTCAGATCGAAAATTTAAAATATTTGTATTTAGATAATAACGATCTACAAGTGGTATCTCCAATTTTTGAATCAGAGAATTTATCATTGATTGATCTATCGTCTAACAAAATAAGAGAAATTGATCCAAGTTCATTTTATTCCTTACGCAATCTTAAAACCTTATCATTAAAAAATAATAGTATTTCTACGATTTACTTGTCGTTTGAAAACATTAAATATCGTCCAGAAAATATAAAAGTCGATAAACATGTTAATGTAAATTATTTGTAATAAATCGCATTCTGATTGGTGTATTTTTAACTCAATTTATTATAAATCAATCTATGCGCATAGAAAACTATGATTTGGTGTTATATGTTTATCTATGATTACTTCCTGTTGAGCCTTTGTTTTTGAATTTTTTATCTATGTTTTGACCGTTAACCGGTGTGTGTTCGTCTCTGTGTGTTTGCAAAACTATTACTAAAATTTAAAGATAAGATAAGTTTGTTTATAAACATAAAATCTTCAATTAGTAATTGTTAATTTAGTACGAAGTATTTATTTTGTTCAAACAAAGTAGTTTGAAGCCCGTTTATTTATAAAATGTTAAAGACAAAAATGGAGTCTATTATTGCCTGTTGGTTTTTGTTAATTTTTTGTGAAACTCATTGTTATAAACCAGTGGTTTTATTGCACGGCATAATGACTTACAATACCAGTATGGAACTAATTAAGAACAGAATAGAAGAAGTGAGTGTTACAGAAATAATTTATAACAGGTACCTAGTATTAGTTTATAATAAACTCAGGGATAAAAATATTCTTGCAGAAACATCCAGGAACGATAGTGTACAACACAAATCGTTACAGTGGGTGGTCAAGTTTGGAAAATATGTGGGAGCAGGTTCAAAATATGGGCTATGATTTAATGAACATAACACAAAAACACCCTGAAGGGGTCAATTTCTTAGGTAACCAGCATTACTATTTATTCTTTGGTAGTATACAACTAATTTGTTGTAATTTATTATTGTAGGTTATTCACAAGGTGCACTAATTGCAAGGGCAATTCTACAAGCCTTTCCTGAACACAATGTTCACAATTTTATTTCTCTGAGCGGGCCCCAAGCAGGTCAATATGGCAGTAAGTAAAACAATAAAATTGTCTGCTAGGTTGAATGACCTCAAATTTACTAAATATATTTTGCCCTCATATGTAATTACCAATAAAAATAACAATTAATTATGATGTAGCTAGACTGACTGAAACAAAAATTAGAAAACTAATTAACTAACGATAAAAAAAGACTAATTGGTATAGTGTAGTTACATTTACGTTTATTTTTGAATTTCAGCGGCGTTTTTACATATCATATTTCCCGGGTTAGCACTTAAGTCCGCCTTTGAATTATTTTATTCTAGAGTGGGTCAGCATACTTCTGTAGGAAATTATTGGAATGATCCTTACCATCAGGAACTTTATTACAATTATTCTGATTTTTTACCGTATATAAATAATGCAATTCCTTCTGAACGAAGTTACGATTTTAAAGCGGGTTTGGTCAAGTTAAACAATTTAGTATTAATAGGTGGTCCCCAGGACAATGTTATCACTCCGTGGGAATCAGCGTAAGGTTTAAAACAGTTGTTATGTACTTATTAGTTGAAGATTCATTTGTTTTTAGACATTTTGGTTATTATGATGGGAATGGGACTGTTATAAATATGGGAGAAAGGGATATTTATATAGATGATAAAATTGGTCTTAAAACATTGGATCTTTTAGGGAAACTTAAAACTATTACAGTTCCAGGGATAAACCATTTTATGTGGCATAAAAATATGACAATGGTAGACGAATTTGTTTTACCTTATCTTGATTAGATCTTTTTCTAATTGTTTTAAAATAATGCTCTCTAAAAAGTGAACAAAATCTAGTCGGAATTATAGTTTAATTAATGTTTTAAGTAGAAGATAATATTCTATTATTATTATCATTAAGTTCTGGCACCTTTAAAAGTGCTTTAATTCTATAACAACCCTTTGTTAATAAATAAATAAATATTAAAAGGGATTGTTTTGTTTTGGCTAAATATGGTATCGTTTGGCAACTCTCATTATGGCAGCGTCGCATGAAATATCTATGGGTGAAGAAAACAATAACATAACCTACTGAAAATATCTCGTGTTTTCTTATTAATTAATCGTAAAATAGAAATAAGTATTAATTGCAATTTATTTAGAAAAATGGCAGCGTTTTTTAGTAACGAAGCAGTTAGTTTAGATAAAACAGTAAATACCTCGAGTGTTCTAACAACAAAATCTGACGAAATAGAATCAGTGTACGATATTGAAAAGTGTACTAATTGGATTAAAGAAAATAATTTCAAAAATGTGAGTTATTCTTCCCTGTAACTTTATTTCCTTTTACATTATTTTATCTTAAGGTTTGTCTACAATTTCCTGATTTTCTGTTACCTGATTCGGTACAAATAAGTATACTTTTGGAGTCCCTTCTAGGAGGGCAACGTGTTTATATAATGGCTGATACAGCTTATGAAAGGTAAAAAATGATGTAAGGTCTCTTATTAAATATAATCTTTTAAAACATTTACTAGTTGTTGTATTGATTATCTAACAGCTGCACATGTAGATGGGGATGCAATAATCCATTTCGGTCCTATATGTTTTTCTAAAGAATCGGGTAAAGTGCCTTGTTTAAAAGTTTTCGAAAAAGGGAAACTTAATGTAGATGGTTTTGTGAATGCTTTTGGTTCATTCGATAATCAAAATAATGAGGAAGTAATAATCTTAATGGACACTCCATATTTAAATTATTTAGGTAGGCTGGTCATTGTTTTTCCTCATGTTTCGTTTCAAAATATTTACTAAGTTGCTTTTTTTTATTTTAGAAGAATTGCGTACAAACCTTAGCACTTTTAAAAATGTTTCGGTTAGAGATGTTACAGACTCTTCTTTAAGTTTAGGTTTACAGTGTACGATATTTGTTAGTAACAATTTAAGAAAGGTAAACATTCTTTCCCAAAGATATTCAGGTGAGAGTTACGCAACAATAAATGTATTGGGTGGTTGTTATTAACAATAATTGCTATTTTAAGAGGCCAAACTTTACCACTGTAATCCAGAGAACGAAAGTCCTTTGGAGATATTAAATTTCCAACAGGATTTGAGAGTTATTAAAAGGCGTAATTTTCTTTACGAAAAAATCAAAGATAGTAAAACTTTAGGAATAATCATCGGAACTTTAGCAATTAAAAATTATCTAAGTGTAATTGACAGGGTTAAAAAGCTCCTAAAACTTAACAACAAGAAATATTATCTAATTAGTGTTGGGAGACCAACGGTTGCCAAATTAGCAAACTTTCCAGAAGTAAGAAAATTAATTTTTCTTATTCAACAAAAAAAAATTTGAAGTCTCAGTTGAGATTCGAACCGTAAACGTAAATCGAGCGATTCAAATTCAACTTGGAACTTTACTTTTTTTTTTGTTTTTTTATAACGTAAATGATACTATGTAGTGTATTAATTAATTTTATAATTTTAGATTGAAGTTTACATTTTAGTGAGTTGTTCTATGAACGAGCTATACGAATCTCGTGATTTTTATCAGCCAATAGTCACCCCCTACGACGTAGAAATGGCGCTCAACCCCAACGCCAAACAGCTCCAGTTCTCTTACGATTTTAATACATACTTTTCGGAAACAGATTTGGAAAATTTAAATTTAAGAAAAGCAAACGAAGATGCAGACGTAAGTTTAATAACAGGTAAAGTTAGACAATCTGTCACGCAAGAGGAGGACAGTGTTGATTTGGAAGAACAAACTCAAGTCGCTTTGGGCAGTGACGGTACAGTTGCCCTTAATACACATTATGGGGCGGGATTTTTAGGTGCCAGAAGCTGGAAGGGGTTGGACCCCAATTTAGGTAAAGATGAACCAGCTGTGATACAAGAAGGACGTAAGGGGGTGGCCATGGCGTACGAAAATGAACAAACGTAATTTTGGGGAAATGGTGAGCTTTCTAAGCTCATCCAAATGTATCTTTTTAGCACAATAAATAAATAAATCTTATGGGTCTATTTTATTTTTATAATTTAGTACAAGCACGTACCTATTGTCTAAAATGTAATAAAGATATTTATGATTTTGTTGTTTTGTGCTAATACTAACATTCGTTAAACAATCACATTCAGCACAAAACTGATTGTTACTTGTTTTATTATATTTCAAGCGAAACAAAAAGCACTGGTACCTTGCCTTTTATTTTTGTTCTATTATTGTCGCTTACTATAAAGCGATGTATAGTTTGTTTCAGGTATTAATGATTACTAAACAAACAAATGCAACGTGAATATTTATTTCTAACATAGAAATAATGCCAATCATTTTTTATTTGTTTTTATCTTTAAAACAGTAGAAAATGAAAACAAAAGTAGTCGTAAAGGAATACGACGGTGACAAAGACGCGAGGGTGGGGGGAGACTAACGAAAATAATGTGTACTAAATATTTTTATTATTATTCCGTGTTGTTGCTATCGTTTAAAAGACTTATTATTCCTTCTTTACCGGACAAAAGTATTTTGTCTCCTGTTTTAAACATTTCTGTTGCATTTTCAACCCCAACGATACAGGGCAGGCCATATTCCCTAGCTACCACTGCTCCTAAAGTGTTTATTAATTATTTATTTTTGATTTACAAGTAGTATAATTCACATACCGTGTGATATAAGTCCCCCTATTTCAGTAACTATCCCAGATAGCATGGGGAAGTACGGTGACCACCCTATGTCAGTTGAATAAGTGATAAGAATGTCGCCTGTAATTAAAGTAGTTATTAAGCATAATATTATTTATTATGTTATAAATACCATTTTTTAAATGGTCGATGTTGTCGATCGATTTTATAACACACGCTCTTGCTACCGCGTCTCCCGGATACACGGGAGTGCCCTTTACGGATACCCCTTCCCTATGAGAGGATAGCAGTTCTAGAAGGGACTTTTTCTTTAATGGCTCTGGAACTCCCCACACAATTTCGGGGAATTTCAGATCATTCCATTGGGGATAAAGTTTCTTTCTTCTTGTTGCCCTAAACAATTTTTTTTTTTTTTTGGGTTAAAGTAATTATACGATGGTTTTATTATTGCTTACTTAGCCACTAGTGCAATGTTTTCTTTTTTGATAATTTTTTCAATTTCGTACAAACTCAAATGAAAAATTAAATGGTCGTGGGGCAGGTGACCGTTGCGCACCATTCGCGTTGATAAAGTGCGAATTGCCCTTTTGAGTTTGTCTATTACCATTATTACATCACATTTTGTTTTTTCGCGATCCAGCATGGACTTTATGCACTTGTTGATGAAATACTTTAAGATGATCCTATAAATTTATTTGCGTCACGTGCTGTCCAGGAATGTCCATTTTTTATGGACAGTACTGTACATACCTTTTTGGATAACTTTTCAATGTCTGAAGTTTATTTAGAGTTTCGTCAACTGTTAAATTTTCTTTTGTTTTTTCGTGTGTTGTTTGCTTACGACAATTGGCCTGTATCATGCTAATGAGCCTGCTTGGATCTTCTTTCCATGAACGTTCAGCTAGTTCGAACTGGAATTAAACAATTGAATGAGTTTTGCGCATTTTAAGTTTAAAATTTGTACTTCTTTATAAACTCGGTGTCCGTGGATGTCTAGGAAATTACTCAGTAAACTTTTTACAGTTGGCGATTTATTTCCTAGCCATTCAAGTCCCAGTTTCGGGTCAATGTTGACGAATTCTTCGCTGATATTTTCTTTTTTTATAGTTTTTGCAATCAGTTCCAATTGTTTCGGAATTGTTGCCGATATAATGTTTGCTGAGATCGATAGTATCAATACAATGTCTTGAAATACTTCGTCATTTATGTCTGTAAATGTATGTTATTATTTTTTTTTTAATATTTTCTGGTTTTGTAATTGCTTACCGGTTTTGTTATTGGTTAAGACGCTGAACACGATGGCTTGATAAAAAACATTAACCCTCGAGATGTGGCAGTATCGGTCTGTGACCGTTTCTATAATTTTCAATGCCTCTTTGATTTTTTTGAGTATGGTTTCGCAAGAATCGTTATTATCGATTATTATTTCTAGATTTTTTGCAATTTGTTCGGTCTCTGCTACAGTGGCATCAGTATTTTTGAAAAGTGTTAACATTTCTGGAATTAACTGATAAGTTTTTTTGGTTCCGAAAATTTTTTTTGCCATATTGTGCATCTTTTCGTTTATGGCATAATGCCCGAAAACGGCCAGTTCACAAGCCCTTACTCCCATACTTATATCTTCTTCGGTTCTTGATAGTAAAGTCTAAAAGATTCACATTCAATAACATCGAAACTATTTGATACGTATACATGTACAGTGCTGTTCATTGAAAATGGACAAAAGAGATTGTTCACTTGTTTTACGTCATTTGTTAAAATGATCCGCTTTTGTTTTTACAATTGTTTCGTCCATTTTCATGAACGTTACCGTACGTTTATTATGTCCATCAGACAGTTATGATGACTCGTAATTATCGCTTTGGCTTTGACTTTGTTAAGGTTTGTAAAAGAGTTGTTTATGGTCGTAGTAACGAGGTCGTGTGATAGAACGGTCTCTGCCCCAGGTTTTACCTCCCCCACGTTGGCTTTGGTGTACGCGAAATCTGGTCCCACTACGGGGGTATCGTATTCGTGGGTCAGTTCGAAATCCGTCCACGAATTTAATGTTGTAACTGGTCGCGATTGTAAAATATAAAGTTGACCCTACAAATTGATTTTACCGACTTCAGTTGTTACTTAGGGCGTGTTTTGTTTTTTTTTATTTGACCTCGCAAAAGGACCATTCTATGTCCCTCGGCGACCCAAACGTTTTTTCTATGTGCAAGCCAACTTTTCCTAATGTTAGTGCTTGTTCGGACGATAAACTCCATTCTTCTTCCGATTCCGGGTCGATTTCGGTAACTTTGGTACCCTTGTGTGCCATAACAACTTTAACTTTTTTCGACCCTTTCTGTTTCGATAATATGGAAATCTTGTCGTCCCAGGTCTTTGATAAAATGTAGGTGTCAGGGTCGGCTTGCCCAGATACGACACTCTAAAAATGTTTACGTCATGGGGAGGGTTGTGAATTTTTGTTATCGTTTTTACCTCTCCAAGGCCGTAATTGGAAGTTATGACCATTTGGGACATATCGGATGTGGAAGGGTGACATGTAAAGATTACACCGGAAGTGTCCGACGGGACCATTTTCTGTACGATTACCGCCATGTCGGTGACGATGGGTAGTCCATGGTTCCTTCTGTAGTGGACGCTTTGAAATGTGAATAACGACGCCCAGCATCTCGGTACAGCTTCTAAAATTTCTTCTTCTGTTTGGCAACCCAAATATGTCGCGTTTTGACCAGCGGTTGAGAATTCCTCCGAATCTTCGATGGTTCCTGAAAAAAATTATCGATTTTTAGTACAGAGTGCATTTCGTTTTGAGTTTGTTCATTTATCCACCTGACGATCGGACTGCCCATTTTACTTCAGGCGTACCATTTTTTGAGGGCAAATTCAAATTTTTGATAATTTCGTTTGCAATATCTCGAGGTACTGGTTCTTTTGCTAACAAACTGGTAACTCTAAAAATTGATTTTAATTAGCGATTTATGTCAGATGTGGCAACGACGTTAATTAACTCTTCACAACAGTCTCCAATATTTCGATCACTTTTTCCGAAACAGGCATGCTCTAGTTGTTCAAGGGCCCGTTTGATGTTCTTATTTTCTTCTAAAAGTTTGTTTAGGGCATTGCTAAGTATTACAAACCCCGCTGGCACAATAAACTAAAATAATATTGTAAGTAGTACGTAAAAGTTGTAGTTTAAAGAAGAATACTTACGTCATTCGTTTGTATCGCTGTGAGTAGGGATAGGGAAGCTCCTTTTCCTCCTGTCAGGGCTATTTTAGTAGACAAGGGGTCGGTAAAGGGTAGTACAAAATTTTCTGGCGGCAAGTAGTTTTTCGAATGTGACGGTTTGACTATAGTTTGAATTCGGACTTTGTCTTCTAAAAAATAATACGATTATTTAAAGTTGGATTTTTTTTTGTTAAATATGTTACCGGAATTTTGAGTTTGATACCAAAAACTGATGATCCCTTTGGCATCTTCACCATTAACTACACAATTAGCTAAGCCTTGCTTTCTAATCCAGCCATCTTGGAACTTGTTTTCGAATTGTATTATTGTTTTTGGGTTTATATGAATTACGCACTTTAAATCCTTACCGTCAACTGTAAATTCAAAATGTTTAGTATAAGGGATGTTTCTGGAGTAAGTAGCAAGCTTGCAGAGGGTGATAGGGCATTATAAAACAAGAAAATTAAACTTAGTGGTTCGAAAGTAAACCGTTTTCGAGAAAAACGTATTTGAATGTACAATCAAGGGGCAGTCCGGTTCTGGAAGGAAACGCGACATTGCAACGCCGTATTCAATTAGCTGCAGCATCCATGTTGTATGTGTTTTTGTTTTGTATTTTGTGTTCTCAATACCACATTGAGATGTACTTTAAACAGTACTGCATACTATCAGCGATGAACAAAGTAATTATTTCATTAATTGTTATTACAATGATGATTATGCGTAGTAGCTGTTGATATTTACTTTATTAGCCTTTCCATAGCCTGTTTAATGTTTATATTTTTTATCGATGTAGTTACTTAGTTGTTATCGCAATTTCTCTATGTACTTATACGTTGTTAATTCACGACCAGGGTCGGCTTCGGATTGCAACTTCGTCTAGTTTTCTGATTGCATTTAGTTAACACCCTCAAAAGCATGCTTTTTTTTTTCAGAAACACCCTGTACAATTAGTGATTGGTTTTTGTTATCGTTACTTGCCAGAAAAATGTGCTGTTAATGTTTTTGGTACGATTTCGTCCGCTCCTTGGTATTCCAAGAAAATATCGTTTTCCTTTATCGCAAATAAATTCCCATTCCCAAAATATACGGTCCCATATCTCAAACTAGCGACAGGAATATTTTTAATAAAGCATAAGAATATTACGTAATTTATCTGTTTTACTTTTTACAACCCCATTTGAATCGTTTCGCCCCAATACAAAATAAGGTACCATCACGCGCGGTAACGTACAAACAAATATCTCTATCGAGGCAATAAGTATCCGATGTTCCGTAATATCTTTTACGGAATCCGGGAACATGTAGAGGGGTTTCCGCTGGGAACTGGGCACCCCCAATATATCCTATAAATGCGCCGTATTGTTCGTACCCTTTTTGGTCACCCCTAAACAATTTGTCTTACAGATATTAAACTAGATGAGTCTGTTTGAAATTTTACTTTACATTAACTCCAGCCACTCCTGATCTTTCCATTCCTCCCTTGATATATCGTCCGCCAAAAGATTGGTGGTGTAATCTTGAGGAGATTTAATAAGTGAATTTGATGCCGCATTCCAACTAAAATTTTTAAATTTTAAAAATGGAAAAATACGTGATTTTTTAATAGTTTTTTTACATGAATCGAAATTGGACATATTCAATGTTATTGTTGCTGTCGTTTGATAGACGGTTTCTTAAAAATCCATGATAAACTACTCTAAGTCTTTTAAATGGTTCTATAATCCATATTCGAAGGCCTTGCGTAGACCATTCGTTTTTCGAATAAATATTATTTAAAATAACTTTATTTTTATCTAAAATGTGATGATTAGATATTAGGATAGAAACTATTTGAAAATAGATTTACTTGGTAGAA